GTTGTTTCAAAACGCCTCAGACTTCATTGTCCTTGCCTTTTCATACAAATTGCATTCTATTCCCGCTCTTGCTTTCTTGACCTTCCCCCTTCTTCTGCTGCCAGACATTCCATTCCTGACTCACGTCATACATTACTTATATTAATATAAGTGTATCTGCAGTCTCTCAAGCAGTAAGTATTAACATTCACAAGTGAGAAATTGAGATTTCAAAACACAAAACCGTTAGCACGAATCAAGTCAAGTTTGACAGTTATTCTCTATGAGTGGTAGGCGTCTTCACGTATCTGAAAGATAACTCTGACAAACAAGGGCGATTGGATGAAGATGTGAAGTGACAGATTTGCAAATTCAGGACAATCTTCTCACAATTGATGAGCATTTACAACTCAAAACAGCTGTCGGCCAACTACACGGTTATAATTTTTAACATCGACGTTGAAATAGTTCTGCTGTGTGTACCTGATAATTTGGGGACTTCTACAACCGCCATGAAAGTATTTATTCTAATTGCTCTTGATTTATACATTTTTAATGTTTAGTTCTAAACGAATCATCTTTAACAATATTCCCTTTTACTGATTTAAGCAATTTTGAACTGCATTATTAAACATGTATCATTTTGATATTCACTTTTTAGAGTGCACCATTATTTAAGTGATCTATTTACTTCACTTACTCACAATAAAAGGAATACATAATCATTTCACTACTAATACTTACTCAAAATTTCATGAACTACACTTAACTTACTTTTCAGAAATACTGAATTGATTTAATTATATCTTGTACAATTAGAATAATTAGAATCAAATAAATACTTTAAGGTTCTTAATTAAGAGTTGTGTGTTTCATGGAACGAATATGTAAACAAAACTGTATGACGATGAGTTCTCATTAGAAAGAAAATGGATAGTTGTGAGGATATTAGGTAATATGTAATGATGTCTTGTGATTTAAAACGTTTAATGTGCATTTTTAAAAATGTTTTTAGCATTCTCTAAGTTGAATTCCCTTTAACTTTGACAGCAGATGAAAAGCACTCAAACCAAAGAACCAATAAAAGATTAAATCTTAAAGTTGTGAGTTCAGTTCTATGTAAAGTTATGGATGGAGATTAATGAATAGTTCTATACTAAAATGTAATGTCTATCCAGTACACCTATCTTGTCAACGTTTCTTAAGCCGCTGTCAGGTGGTAACAAACATTAACTTCAAATTAGAGGGTAGATCAATAAAAATGTGGAGTGATTTGATTTGGTTATTAGGACACATTTAAAAATCTAGAATTATTTGGTTTTTAATAAAAAGTCTGTTGAATTCAGATCCAAAATGAAAAAAAATTAAACAAGTAATAAATAAAAAAAATCATAACGAATTTCACAATAATAATGGTCAAGATTAATAACTAACAATTGCGGTAGAGATTTCTTTTTCTTGTAAGTTACTGACTCAATGCATAATTCTAATGTGTGAGTTGGGTGAATTATTTTGCAAATTCACTGTATTTTCTATGTGGGTGCGTATAAAATCTGGTTCTGTTAAAGTTTTAATCTTATGATCTTCAAAATTAATATTAGTTTAGGGGCGGTAGTTTTGAGGTGCATCGTACCGTCTGACTGGTTAGTATAACATAAACCTTGATTTTTAACTATTACATCAACATTTTTTGTATTTATTATAAGCGATCCGCTTACATTCACGATATAGGAATGAATAGTTGAATATGTAACTGAACTAAAGTAGTTCTTGTCACATCATGACATTTTGGATGTTACTTTGATCTCATTCTGTATATGCCCCATACTAAATCAAGAGAAATTTGTTTCTAAAAAGTAGTATTGTTATCATTATTATTTCCTATCATATCAAATTCTTGATACAGTGAAACCACTACGGTAATTCATTAGCTTAAGTACAAATCGGAGTTTTATTTTGATTAAAATTTATACTACTATCAGTAATATAACAAGTAGAATAAACATTATTGTTATTTTATTAATTGAAATAAGGTCTTTACATTATTTAATTATTGTTTATCAATAAGTTGAGCTTGTAACGATAATAAACTGCTTATAGTAATCTGCATCATTAATTAACACTGGTTGTAGAAAGCCCAAAAGTTCAATACAAATATATTACCCTATTATGCATCTATAAAGTAGCCTGTACTAATAACCACTTATGGAATGAAATTCGTACCATTCAAATGTTGCAGACGATAAAATATCAGTAAATTATCAAGTCAATTCAAAACAATATATACTTCCTACTTCAGTCAACTCTTGAGGAAGATATTCACAGTAACATAATATCATGCGTATTTATTTAAAAGACTAATATTCGAACGAAGAGAGAGAGGTGTTCACGATCACAAAAATGCAAATTCCGACAAGTTCGACCCACGTAACTCGCTCGCTCACACAATATAGTCTTCCACCAAACTTTTGATCGAATTTACCCTATCTGATCCATATTTATCCTGATCATATATGCAGATTTAAGTTAAAATTCTCTATGAGTCATATAAACATTAACAATTTTATTGTATTTTGTTTAACAATCCTAAATTCACACGCATTATACGATGTATTTCGCCCTTAACCTGGCCATTTTCTGGATTAATAATTTGGATATATAATTGTAGAACCTGAAGAGAATTTATCGAAAAGAATATTTTTTGTTCAAATATTAGTCTTTTAATATGGTGGGGATCTCTAAACGATTAAAAGACTATTTGCCAACAATTATAAGGCATACTGCAAATGTTATGAACGATACACTGAGTCACGAAACGTCAGAAAATTTGAATTTTATACTCATTGGAACATCACAAATATATTAATTTATTTCTAGAAGTAAACGTTTATTTTAACAGTTTATTCCAAAAGACAATAACCTTTACGCTATTCAATGCATAATACACTGAATATTATTTGATCTTTGATCATTGTAAAATAATTTAAATTCACTAAATGATTCCTGACATACTTTCTTAATGTAAACAATAATCTTTATTCGGCAAGAAAGTAACAATGGAAGTAAAATGCTCAGTCAGTATATCTTCATTACATTTATTTTGTTTGTTTTTTTTAATTGAAATTTCTTTCTTCGATTCGTAACAGTTTATTTACAGTCCCTAATTCTTAAACTTGTTATTAAAATGTAATGCATGTACTGTTTTTTTGTAATTTTCTACAAAAACTATATGAAATACCTAAAATGTTAGATACTTATTAAAGTAGGACATCTTCTTTTAGTTACATTCTAGTGGATGAATTACATAGTTCCCACTACATCATCAGAGAACCAATGCATCTATGATTCACTTTAAGAACTAATTCTTGAAGAAACTATCTATATTAAGAGGGTTTTTCATACCTTGTCAATTTGTTCTGGAGGTTACATACGTCATCAAGCACTATTTCTTAAAAGAAAAGAAAGGATCGTGCTTAAATTACCAATCAGATTTGTACTAGAATGTCTTCATTAAACCGTTTATAATCCAATAAACTATTCTTGAAAACAATCACATTTTTATAATACTGACTGTATAAAATAATAATGAGGATGTACACGTATGAAAAATCAGATTTAATGAAGTTTTGGGAGATTAGTTTCTAATGTCTAGTAATAGGCATAAAACGAAAACTTCGACAGACAATTTTAAAAGTAGTCCATAATATATTTCTACGAATGATATCTATTATGGAGATTTACAGAATTTGTAGGTAACTTCTGTCATAAATTGACGTCAGTCTGAGTAGTTTAAAAAATCAGGGAACATTTCATAAACATTTCGTCTTAGTATCACAAATATATCGAATTCGTAAATGCTTAGCGTCAGATTTTAGCTTATTAGCTTTATGGTTAAGCATTCGCCACTATTATGGTGTATGCTACTGATATTGATAGATATAAATAGTATGCATCATCAATCAAAAGTGAAATACCTGAAGGCAGAAGGTTAAGAAGATCAAAGGAAAAAGAACGAAAACAGAGAGTGATAGGTGTGCAAACGAAGGAATGACGAAGTCAGAGACGATTGATTGACATTTTGCAAATAAACAATTTACTGTATGATTCTCAGATTTCAGTAAGAAGTTCTGTAATTTTGTGTTCAAATACATTTGATTGCCCCCACGTGTGATCGTATACTACACTATAACTAGAATTTGTATGTGTAATGAAGACTGTTATACTAAAATGAAACAGTTATCCAGTGCTTACGGGTTTTTAATGAAATCTTTAACAACTCCAAATCTTACTAATCTTTACTAACTTATTTGATTGCCAGATAATGAAGTGTCATTCTGTAAATGACACAAATTTTTTAAACCTTATCGAAGTTCATCTAAACAACGTGTACATTTTTAAATGGTTCATTGAAATTACAACTGAACTATTTGTAAGTGAACTTAAATTCTTTTTGTTTTCTTTTTTACTCTGTTATGTTTCAATCTTCAGCTATACATTTAAAATTATTGTACATTGTAAAATGTATATATTCTATTTATATTTTATTTCTGGCATGCGAATATGTATATTATAAGAGGTAGTTACGGTAACCACATATCATAAGTATTGCAAACATGAAATATAATAGTACTAGAATTATAGATGTGGGTGTAAATTCAATCGATAATAAATATTATAATAATGAAGCAAGAAATACTACATGTCATATGCTCATCTACTTACATACACATATAAACATAAAAACATACATATGTATACTAATATGCGTTTAAGAATCTAATTGAGTCTTACTAATGTTCGATTGTATCTGTATGTGTAAGTATTTTTTTAATACTGATAATCTTCATTTAGTAGTCATTTTTTACTGAACTACCAAACTAGTACTTTTATCATCGCTTTATTTAATAAACTACTGGTGACTACTGTTGTATTGAAGAAATCGATCAGTCAACAAATCTTCAAGAAGATTAACTATTTTAACATTATATTATCATCTATTACAATAATAACAAAACGAACAGATGAAACAAGGAAAACGATCAAGCAGTGTAGATTCTTCAAATGATAAAGAGATATTTTTTCAATGTCGTGGAAAAAAACTCGGTGTTACTGAAATCACTGACAATGAATCATTTTCACGTTTCTCAGCTGATCAAATTATAAAAAAACATTTGGCTAAAGGTCATACAAATATTATTATTAGTTGTTTACAAGATAGAATGAAATTTAGTAAAATTTCATCAATAATTCCTCATTCAACACGAAAATATGCAGAATATAAAGATATTAAAAATTTCTTTGTATTTACAAGTAAACCAGGTGTATTCGTATTATGTAAACATGATTCTGTGACAAATAAAAAAACTTATGAAAGTTTCTGTTGTGATGATCCATCTGATTTAGAAAAATTAACACGTTTAGTCAGTTCAGCTAAAAATAATTCAGATCATAGATTATATAAAAGTCAAAATACATCAAGATCAACTATTGATATGAATAATGAAATTTCAGCTGCTGAATTATTTGAAAGTAGTACAAATTTAAATAATGAATCATTAAGTTATCAAAGTGGATTTTTACGTGATACTGGATCACCTGTAACTGAAGCAGTAGATCGTAATGAAGTATTTCCTAGTACTTCACCATTCTCCCCCTCACATACTTATAATAATTTAACTTCAGTTTCAGTTAGTGATATGCCAAATGAACATGAAGCAAATGGTTATATTGAAAATAAATCAAATAGTAATATAAATCGAAAAAAAGATTCATATCATTCACCAAAAGGAATGATTTCACCTCCAATTAATGATAATTTTCATCCTTTAATTGGTTATCAATCAAAGAATAAAATGAAACATAATCAATCGAATCATCATAATAACAATGATACGACACCAGTAAATTCACGACGTCAAAGTTTAAAAAATCTATATAGATTAGATAATGAAAATATTTATACTCAGAAAGATGAATTAATTGCAATGTTTGATAATGATTTGACATTTCTTACTTCTTCATGTGGTGATGTCGTTGAATCTGAACATGGTTCAAAGTATTTATTTTGTCAATCAGGTTTAGAAAAACTTCAAAGTTATGAAGGACCTTTATATGAATCATCAACTGACTAAAAAAAAATGAAAATATCTATATAGATATTTATCAAACTATAAACATTTATCCATTTTTTAATATGAATGATTAAACAGTAATAAGTTCAATTCATGAAATTCTTTTGGTAAGTCAATTAAACATGTTTACTGATTATAAGACTGTTACATTATGCTTTATGAAACTTACATTCCTGAATACATTTCAATGAAACATTTAAGTTAACTTAAACTGTATTGTCTTTTAACTGATATTCATAATCATCTCTTCCTGTTTACTTGTTTCTTCTTTTTTTTTGTACTTTAAATTATATTAGAGTAATACAATATTTAATAATCTTTTTTTTTCTTATGTACTAATTTACATGGAAATAAAAGTCAACAATTGTTCACTCATATTAATGATCACTAGAGTAATTTGGTTAATATTTAATTTAACAGGATCAATCGATAACTTATAATCAAGGTTTAGGTAGTTGATGGACTATTACGTATGTTTTATGAAAACTATAGTAATATTGCATTTTCGACATGGTTCCGGATCATACTAAAAATAACTATTATGTAACGAGCCATCTGTTTTGTAATTAAGAGGCGCGTCACTAATATTCGCCTGAACATGTTATATATATATATATATATAACCAAGTTTGAGTCGACAAACTGAAGATTACATATTATATGGATAAATCACTAAAGACTACCTAAGCATAATCCAGTTTAATCAGTACTTACATTGGAAAACTAACGTAGTACTCATTAGAATTGTTCCACTCGGTAAACCGATCAATTTCGCTACAGTAACTATCAATTAAGTGTGTGATGTAATATTCATAATCGGTTCATACTGGAATAAAGTTTTAACTTTTTGTTGTCCCCCCCCACTATGTATCAGAATCAAATTAACCATAATATCTCCACATGGTTACAATAAAAGAGATAAGAAAAAGTATTTCGATCAAAGAGCCGCTTTATTACTTGAAGTCATGAATGTGGTACAAAAATTCTGTTTATATGATAATAACAATGATCTTGGGAGCATTAAGTAAAATAAAAAAACTGATGTGGAAAACAGTCAAACATTGAATAATGAAGGTCATTGTAGTAATTTTAAGTTATAAAGGCTTCCTTTATTCATCAGAACTGTAACTTATCGAAAGAAAAAAAAACTAGATTTCTTGAGTCTTTCCCTAGAAGTTCGATGCAGCAAAAATTAAAGTAAAGAACAAGTGGAACACTAAAAATAATTCCTTGATCAAAGCTAGATCAAACATTAACACGCGAAATCATATATTTATTTCAGGTAGCAGAATTATTTTTCTCCAGCAGACGTCCCATAGCCATAACATTTAAATTTCGTAGATTTAATAAAATGGTTAACTGTGTACAGGACATATTGTTGCATAGCATATAGTATGTAACTGAAGTATATTATTCATTCAGAACTTGTACTTAGTTTCAAAAGAAAACAACGAGCATATATATGCAACTATATTTAATCATGTACTCAAAACTGTCAAGTTTAATTATCACTTGTTACTAAACTAAATTTATCAACTAAATTGTTTACTACATTAATCGTTAACCGTTAAGCCATGATATATGAGAAGATAGTATTGCATCTGAGGATTAAAGTTTCGTACCAGCCAAAAGTTAATAACATGGTGATATAGAACTCTACTATTCTTAAGTAGTCTGGGAGGAAGATCAAAATAAATTAGATAATAGAAGAAGGCAAATAGTGAGCTGATAAATCATCAGAATCGTTACACAAACACTGTATATCTAGATAATTGCAAACGTTTTGCTTTTTAATAGAGTTATAAGTGTCAATCCTGTTCATTTTAGATACAACGGATACAGAACAGCGTCAAAACTTTCAACAGAATAAGGTTTGGAACTTTTACAAAACATTTCATGATACAATGCAAATTCGACGCAACCAAAACTGTACCAGTACTAAGAATAAATTCATATGACAACTTGTTGTTGTGATTACCAAGCAATATAATTATATTACTAGGATCAGTGTCAAAACGCTTCAACTGAGAGCTGTTTTGGTACTACATGAATGAAATAGAAAATGTCAGAAATATTGTTAAGAAATCATTATTCAAATAGGTTATCTACTGATCATTTATTATTACGAGAGAATATGCCGAATAAACGTTATTAAGTAAATAAATGTTATGGTAACCACTGCTGTAAATCAGTTGAAAGGTTGAAACTACAAGAAAAGCATGTGTCGTCATTTAATAACATTATTTTTTATGGAGTTCCTCATCGATCACTCTGAAAGTATTTGTATTTAGGTCTCTGTGCCTAATGGTTTGGTTATGAATCTTTCAGTGTTCTTCTAAACAACAGCGCTTGCCTCTTTTTCAAATTAGTACCGATAATACTGCTCATAAGAATAATGGAAGCTTCACTACCAAGCTATACAGTTCAGAGACCACAAAGCCTCTAACATTCTTATTCTGAGCTAAAAATATTTCCTATCATTCCAAAACATTCTATTAACCATCATTAAATGAATATTGAATTATTTCAGTTGACTAACTAATAAAAGAAAAACCTTATTGTCGTTTTCATTTTTATTGACGAACATATCATATTTACTACAAATAGGTTGATCACTTCAGAATAACTCTTAATGAAATCAATTGCTCAGAAGGTTGATTGATAAAAGCCTGGAACAGGTTTGGAATATTGAGACTACAAAATATTTCTCCTACAGGTGCCTACTGTGCCAATATCCGACGTCGTTTGTAATAAACTGAAATTAAGAATGATTTTCTATGTGAACTAATGGAAGAAAATACCACCTAACGTCTTCGAATTGTATATCGTTCGCTAAATTCTTCAGGGGTATTAGTTCGTCAGGTTGTGTATGAGTAAAATTGTTGGTAGAACTACTTCGTTGAATGTGATTGTATTGATCGTTAATATCGTTTATTTTAAGAGGTTAAAAGGGTTTCTAAGAAATGAAACGGTGATGTAAGAATTCAATTTGAGCATTCAGTCGATAAATATTCTTCGTATTCTTAGAATTCACTGTTCGTACACGCTAACTTTAATCTAGTTCTTATATTAATAGAACACACTTCTAGTGTACAACAATTTGTTTTTCAACACATCACTAATCTACGTATAAAGTTAATCAATGAACAAAACAAGTGTTTACAACAGTTGTAAAAACGTTTCTGTTCACCTTAAACTTAGCAAGCATCAGACTGGTCAAATAATCTCGTTGCTGTATTTCTATTTAATTAAGGATTAAACTCAACAACAAGTCAGAATTTGTAAGAAAATACTACGAAGAAAAGTCTATGTTTGACGTTTGCAATAATTCTCTTCTGAACTCTACGTGTTTTCAGGCGAAATAACTTAAAGAAAATTATCATTTTCAACAGTATCTGGTATGGCTATAACAATGAATTTCGTTATTAATTGAAGGGAATGGCTATTAAATATAAATGACAAACTATTAAGGGTTATTTGTAAGATGGTAGTTGAAGGTGGTCAACAGGAAACCATGGTCCCATGTTTCATGTTACTTGGCACTCATCAGCAACGTGTACCTATAGTCTTGAGGGAACTGAAGCTCCCTGACGAATTTGATCCCGTGCCACTCAGTTTCGTAGTCAGAGATGTTACCACTAGGCTATCCGGGCCGCGATTGACCTCCTGTCGGAGTGATATTTATTCACAATTGATTGATCAATGTCCTATGAGTCAGGTCCTTCTTAGTGCAGATCAAGTGCTATCGACCATCATAGTGCACACATTATCGTGTCACCTAGACTAGTGGCCATATTGCAACTTGGTCGGTAGTATTCGATTTGCACTAAGAAGGACCTGACACACATGACATTGATCACCACCTAGTGACCAGTCAATTGTGAGGGTTATAAGCGTTTCCATTATTTTCAAAAATAACTATTTCGTATTTATCAGAAGGGGTTTTTTGGAAAGTGCTAGAATTCGGTCTTTTGTCTATCTTTATGAAAATTAAAAATGGTATGATTTTTCCCATCTATAATTGTAGCATAAAATATTTCTAATGTACGTATAAAACCGTTTTTAGTTATCAAAAAATATTACAATAACGATTCACCGTTGTCTGAATAATTACTAAAAACCTGATAGCTAAGTACATGTAGTTTCAAGCATATCCGTGCTATAATACTAACACTTAGAAGGAGCTCATCTGGCCGACTTCAGTCAAACGTATGCTTGTGCAATGTGAAGCGTTCATTTATTCATACAACAATTGTGGTTTGCTAAAAGTAGTTCGATTGACTTGTCAAAATTTAGATTTACTAAACGATTGGTGGTTTAAAGAAATGTCTAAACGAATAACTGAATCCTGTATACTATGACTGCCTTAAATCACTGATTTCAAGTACAATTCTAATTGTTAACATCTCTCAAACAAGATCATTGACAAAAACCCACGATGAACTGACGTTGCTTCATAGCTTACACCAGATAAACACATAATAAGTTTTATGAATTTGTTGAATGATAGATTCGGACTTCATTTCTAGGTAGTTGCAGATCTTAAGGACGTATTATTTCTGTTCGATGGGTACAAGTGATTTGATTTATACTGAAGTAGTTGTGTGGTGTGTGCTATTGATGTTGACAGATATAAGTAGTATGTATCATCAGTCGAAAGTGGAATACCTGGCGGCTGAAGGTTGAGAAAATAGAAGAGAAGAGAACGAGAACAGAAGGTGATTGGTAAGGAAACGAAGGAACAATAAAGTCTTGGACAGTTGATGGATAATTTGCAAATGAATTGTTCACTGTATGGTTCTCAGATTCTAGTAAGATATTATGTAATGTTGAATTGAAATGCATTTGCTTGCCCCCACCTGCGTTTCTGTTCACTACAGTTGAAATATTTATTTCATGGTTTTTGTCGGAAATTTTTCTTAGGTCGTATCATGATAGTGTACCAAAGGTTATTAGAATCCATATAAAGTTAAAACAATAAAGAAAAACATAAGATTTAA